CGTCAAAGTTACTTTATGGCGAAGTAGCGTAATCGTGTTGCTTGTGGTTTTCGTATACAAAGTGGGAAATTATGCTACGTTCATTAACTTACTAGAATTGTATTTCGAATACCAAATTACCACAAAGATTACTGAAATCGAAAATTCTGAAAGTAATTTCTGCTGCAATAGGAAAAGAAAAGCAATTATAAGAAGAGCAATCCTCAATTTATATTTTGTTGCGAAAGTTGACGAGAAATGTTAATTTTTATTCTGTCAAAACTACGACACATATATCAATTAATTTAACAAAAAAATTCCATTATTAAATAGGTATTCAACAATAGACGAGTTCAAAGCACGTTAGTCTCCCATAACAAAAGAATATCTACGATCCAATCTATTCAGAGTGAAAGATATTGGCGTGTCAAAACAAAGTTCAATACAATCCACAGGTATCGATAGTAAACGATATTTATGACAGTGTTATGGAAATACAAAAGGAAATATCCCAATGATCAAACAACATTCAGTAAACTCAGGGTCACAAACTAGTTACCAATAGAAAAGGCTATAAAAACGTATAACTCAAAGTACTTGAATGGAAACAAATTTATTATGAGAATATGATTACAACCACTTTGATTTCCATATTAAAAGATAATATCAACAGCTCATATAATGTAAGTACAAAAACAATGCAATAAAGTGCAATCTAACATAATTAAACTCTCAGGCTATTTCATAATAGTAATTTTCAAACTTGCACATTGAAACAATCAAGCGAGTATTATAAATACGAAAGTTTAGATGGATGGATGTTTGTTAGAGTTTGTAGCCTAAACGGATGAACGGATCTGGATGAAATTTCGCACAGATGTAGAACATAGTCTGGAAGAACACATTGGCTACTTACTTTTGTTTTCTTTTTAGTTTCACGCAGAAGGATTCGCGGGTAAATGCTAGTTATAGTATTTGTCACTAAATTTATATAAGAAAAAGCTAAATGTAGACTCCGAGTGCAGTAATTAGGAGATAAAAATAAATAAGACAATGAAATCCAGCGTATTTCTAAACGGCTTTTAACTGTATTTTTTGTATTTTCAAAATACATGACAATTGACTTATTATCATGATAGTTACATTAACAGTAAAGTACTTTTTATTGGTGTTAAAATTATTTTAAATCTCTAACTAAGAGAAAACTAGTCTACTTTAGTCAATTTCTTGATCAATCAACACTTATAATAAAGAAAAAACTCAGTTAATACCAAGCATATTTTTACGCCAGAAAAACATACACTTGACATTGTAAATTCCTGTAACACTTGACATTGAAATAAATTTCTATGTAACATATTTGTTACATAAGTAACTAAGCATGAGTGTAATGCTGTTAGAAGGCTTCAGTTATTCATAACTTGAGTAATAGAACGCGAAGTAAAAATATAACGTGTTTTATACGACAGTTAATTGACGTTTACATGGTAAGCGTGTTTACAGGCAAAAGACATAAATGATATTTAATAAACTCTGATAATTAAATAGCCAAAAACCTTACAATATCCCTATGTCAATTAGGCGTGAATTCTAATCGAATGACACCGCACTCATCTAAATCTGATCACTCGTTTAGGCTACAGGAGGTAACATACATACTTAAAAATTTATATACGCGAAAAACCCTTCCTGAGTTGGTCTGGTAATATATATACTTATCCCTTTCTCTTTTTTTAAATTTAAAAGATAACGATATGTTAAGTGCTTTTTTCAATGTAAACTTACTGTAACCGCTACGAGACTGTCACAAAACATACTAGTTTAAATTAATAAAGCTAATGCATTACAACAAAAGCAACCTTGACCTAAAAGGCGTATGTATCCGAATAATGAACGATTAATTTAACAAAGCTTTTTAATATACCCAATATTTGAATAAGCTTTGAATAGCTTTTAATCAAGCCCGAATTATAATTACGTTAATAACCCAATTAAACGCTTCAATAAGTCGTATTTTATCATGAATCTACACCGATATAAGTGCTTTTTACTTTAGCTTGATGTGTACTGTATTTAGAAATTAATAAATAACAGACTTTATTCGTATATCTATATTTTACACTTTGTATTAACATATTTTAGTGTAATCAAAGAAATGGAAACGTGGAAAAAACAAATAAAAAAAACAACAACAATAAAATACAGTTTAATGCATAAAGCTCACGCAAACAATAATTTCATCAAATACAAGTATTTCATATTACAATGCAGTTCTAAGAAAACGCAATATTTTCAAGTATTGAGTTTCTTAAGTGGGTCACCTTACGAAAGCCATAGCGTTGAAGATATATGATAGTCCTAAAACTAGGCCACTCCACTAAATAACCCGACTTACTACGGTCTACGTAACGTCTACGATACTATTTACTACGAGATACAATTTATTTTATTTATCTATTGAAATTTTATACTGAACATAACAGTTAGTTAAAGTGTTGCTTAGTGTTAGTGAGCGGTATTAGTAAATCTTTGCGATTCTTAAAAGCTTTGCATTTTTAAAAGTGCTGTTTAACGCGCTCTTTGTTCTTTGTAGTGAATTTAAAACCGTATGGTGTATAGGTATTTACATTAATTATTATATAAAATTGTATACCTTTGATAGGGATAAAAACTAGGAAATATACTACTAGCTACTTAACACTATTTAGTAATATTATATCATACACAAAAAATATTTTAAAGCTATGTGTTTACAGCAAGAAATAACCACGCAGCATTGAGATTGAGAACATATTTTTTTCATTGATATCAAATAAATAAGTGAGGAAAATAATTTTCATACAATGATACTAAAAATTCAAAAAGCAGAAAGATCTTTCTGCTTTCTTACCTACAGAGGATCGTCATAGACAACTACTCTTCCATACATTTCTAACTACGGTTATTTCTATGCATATCTTCATAACAGTAATGCTAAAAGGTGTGATCGTGTAAATGATTTATAGTCGTATTACACGAACAATAACAATTTGCATTAACACGTATCGGTTCCCCAAAAGCCGAAACGATAGCCGAAAAAAAAAGAGCCGACTAATAGTGAGTAATCGGAACAAGGCCGAACCACGGCATTTGCAGTCGCTGTCTTGTACATGTAAAATCAATATGGCGGACATCGCTTTGTCGCACGCGAGTGTAATAAAAAAATATAAATTACAATACAAAGTTCGTTTACCTCAAATCGAATCAGCTTGTAATCTATCAACACCAGAAAGTTGGAAGTAGTACCGCAGCATGCGTTTTGGACACTAACTCGCGCTGTTGTATCGACAATGGACAGTGTAATGCACAAGCCGCTCGCGCCTATGCATCTTTAACACTGACAGCAAGGACGATCGCTTAACGCTGAAAAAGCTTCATTATTTCAAACGTATCCGTCATTTCATTTCCACTCGTAAGTTCATATGTTGCTTACCTTGCTTGAAGAGTCGCGACTTTACTCGTAGCGAACTCGTACCGAAGAGGTATTATTTTCAATCTATTTTTGTACCATACTATCATTATATGTTCTAAATACAGATCCAATACGAAGATAAAGAAATCATCAACTTTATATGTTCGTAACAATCTTTCAAATTGTTCTACGATTTTATCACTGGTTTATAGTTACAATGATTATTTATCATTTGTTTGTAACAAGTAGCTTAATGCAAATTTTGACCTCAATAGCGACAGCAGAGTTTTCATATCTATACCATCTATCTATACTTCTATACTATTATAATAAAGCGTAAACACACACTTCTTTGTTGCCTAAGATGTCAGCAATTAATATTTTTGAATAATTCTTTTTGTTACAAAAGCCTACAATTACGTCACGGTTTAGGCTATATATTTTACGCCATTAAATTTAGGGGGTAAATATTTTGGATAAAAACGCTAATGTGGGAATAAGACCATAAGTTGCTGCCAACATCAAGGAAGCAAAATTGCTATAGTAGGGTAATTGGTATTTTGATATTTGCAATTGAGAATTTGACAACTGTAAACAATAGAAGTTTTTAATATTTCATGCGGATGAAGCCGCTCGGGAACAGCTAATTACTGTATAAATTTTTACCCTTTGTAACATACCTTCCGTCCAAAGAACATCGACATTTTTTTTAGCATAAATATAGGTAAACGTATATTTATTAAAATATTATTATCTCTTTATACAAACGTTAAAGCTGGTATAAAAATGTCATAGCATTGCGTGTATGAAACTGTTATTAAAAGTAAAACTTTTGTCGTTAAAACCTTTCTATCCTCGTTTTTTTTATAGTCACTCTAACTTAAAACGACAAAAACGCCCGTGCACGAGAGACCATTGTTTTGTTACTTTCGCAAAGGTCAATAACCTAATTGTTTAGGAATAGATAGAATTTTACGTCTATCATAAAAGATTTCCATCAAATTTCAGTTTATCGAAGTGGTTATGGATATCGAAATGTGTAGACTGAATACAAGTGTTTTGTTTTTTTCTTATAGTCCATTACATTTTTTTATTCCTATACAATTTAGTTTAAACATATTAAAATCAGCACCTTAATGCAACAAACGGCTTATTTGATTCTTCAGTCCGCAAGGCGGATTCGTAGCAAACGTCTACGAAGCCACTACGAATAGACCGTAGCACTAATGTAAGCTATTATTGGTTAATTGATAGACACGGATTAGCACTTTTCAGACTTTTGTAAAAGATTGTTTGAATCTTGTACCAAATAAAATCAGTTATCTTGCCTATAATTCCTCATATGTAATTCCAAAAAATACTGGTTGAAAATTTAGGTTTTTATTAATTTAATGTTAAAAAAACAAAATAAAAAATTATCCTAAAACCAATTGAAAAAACATTTTTTAAAACTTTAGCTAATATTAAGTTCAACACCGAAATTGTTTACAAATATTTTCATAACATTATAAAGTCCCAAACAAAAGTTGGTATGTCTTTTTAAAATTAAGGTTTAATAAATGTTACTTACCGATAATCCCGGATTACAGCCGGAAGTGATAGAATTCTTCCTGAATTTCGGTACGCATATCTGCATCGAACTTTTCCCTTTGGGTGGCCCGGCGCATCCATACTCGTCGCTACGATCGTTCCTTGTCAAATTTATGTTATTCGTGTTATTAACCTTTACTAAAATATTACAAGTCTGCGAAGCTATCTGGAATAGACCCTCTTCTAAATTTCTTTTATTTGAATACTGTCGATTGAAGTGTAAATAATCCCAAAGGGAAGGCATTTTTATTCAAAAATCGCGTATGGAAGTTACTGTTTTTATTTTTCGGCGTCGACGTGCGACCGACCCGACTTACGAACCCGATGTGTTGAGGTTGAGTTGCTGTACCGTGGACTTGCGCGTTAAAGTTTAGTTTTGACGTGGTACTGTCGCGTGGTAAGGTTTTAAAAAACTTGCTTTTAGTTTTTTAAATGGTATTGTAAGCTCTTAAAATAAAAACATGCCCATTTTACACATATTATAAAAACATTTATTACCAACATTTAATTTACTTAACAGGCCACACAGAAATATTAACACAAAAGGTCTCAAGATCCTTGTGTTTCCTTGTAAACTACTAACTTAATTTGAGTAGTTAATTTAATTTTCTTGTATGAATTAATATTGATTATATCATGTCATTTGTCAAATCAGAACATTTTTTTATATTCTTTAAACGTTGTGTGCGTGACGATCCCCGACCTATCAAATTGCTCAGCGAAGTTTTACATAATTAAGTGAAGTGAGTGTATTAGGTGAATTAATTTCGTTAAAAAATGAACCTCGTAGATGACTATTAACTTTCTGTCTATTAATTTACTTTTTGTAGTAATTTCTTATGGGAATATATGGAAATGATAATTTGTTTGCTTTTTTGTATTAGGAAATTGATTAATGCTTTATCACGCTATTTGTGATAAATGTCAGCTTCGATAGTGTTTTATTTACCTAGTAGCAATCATACGCGTGGAAATAAAAAAAAAAAAACAAAAGTAAGTTGCCTATGTTCCCTCAGACTTTACTCTACATTTATACCAAACATCGATATCCATTCAGTCGTTTTGGCGGTAAACTGTACCAAATATCCATCTAAGCTTTCTCATTTTTAATATTAGTAAGATTAAATAAATAACAATGAATTTCTGCTTTAAAACTTTCATGTTCAATACATTTTATTTGCGACGTGAAAAAATATTTGTATGAAAATGTATAGTCAATGTGAACAAGCGGTTATATTTAAGTACAAACGTGTACAAACGCAAATATGAATACTAAAGTAAACCCATTATTAAAATAGAACCCTCATGGACTAAAGTAAACTTTTGCGTAGTCGCATTATTTACACTCAAACATAAAACGATACTATAAAAAACAAAACATAATCGTTCGTCAGGTAACTCCCTTAGCGACCAATTTACGCGTAAACTCCGCAGTCTAGCTCACCCTTTTAATATTTAAGGGACTGTACATATTTGAAACGAAAACTCGAAAGTCTATACCTTCGTCCTTGATGGTCGGTTTTATTGTTATACCTAATTTACTATTAAATAAATAACTATTATGTACTAATGTACATGATAGTAATTTAATAATTAGTTTCTTATATAGAACAATTGACAATTACTAGTAGTTATCTATTTCTTTTTAAATTACATGTTTACAGAGTGTAATTTTTTGAAAATTCGACTGATTAAGGTTTACTTTAGTGTTATACACTCTTTTTCATGATATAACTCAATAAATTATGACCTGAACATATTCAGTGCTAGAATTTGTAAACATGATGTGTTAAAATTCACAATGAATGACACTAAGGGCCTTTCCCACCAACTTAAAAGTGACATCACTGTCAGATAGAGTACCAAAATCTGATATTTCCATCAAATTTTACATCATCACTAGCTCACTATATGTACCCACCGAGGGGCTCGGAGCCTACCCTAATAAGGGGTGACTAGGTCACCCCTATTAGTCATAGAATTTTACATGTTCGGTTGTTATCAGACAATTTACAATTTGGTGGGACAGGCCCTAAATGTCCTAACTATATTAATTATCAAAATACTGTTCTTTAAGTCAGATGCATTTTCATCAAAGATGAAGAAAACAGATATGTATGTTTGTGATATTTATATTTTTAAATGATATAAAATTTTTAAGTAAAATATAGTCGAGTTTATTAAACTGATTTTTATTTACTTTAACACCTTACATATAATTAAATCAGGGTAATTAATAATTATTGGTCCCATTAGAACGGCGTGACTCTGGGGTTTGAACACCACTGCGTCTTGACTCTGGTGGAGTCTTTTCTTCTTCATCCTTCATGTCCACATCATCAGAAATGCATTCTATCTCATCCGAGTCATCCAGAATGGCTTGGAGCTGATGTATTGAAGTAACCAAGACATGAAATTGCTTCTTTCTTAAAGCTAATCTGCTTTCCAATTGCTGTTTGGATGCTTCTAAGCTACTTAACTCTTTCTTTAACGTCGCAAGTCGTTCTAATGTTTCTTTTCTGTCTGGCTGTTCACTTATTACTTTTGCTAGAACATCATACTCGATGCGGTTTTTACGTACAGTTTTTGCCTGAGCTAAATCTGCTTTGCTCTTCTCAATGTTACTTTTTGCGACTTCTATACCGTTTTCTAATATTTTTGACAGTGATTCGTAGCTTTTTAATTCGGCAGCCATCATGCCAGCACCAAGTTGTGATTTTGTTACGGCAAATTCACATTGAGCTAGTTGCGCTAGCATTCTGTCGTGCGTTGATTTGCTAAAAAACATAATAAATGCCTACATTATAATAAATTTACTAAATCCCTTCGAGATGTAAGCAATCTACACAAACAACACTAAACTTTTCTAACCTCTCTTCCAGTTTTTCGTCAGTATTGTTACACCATTTTATTAATGTCTTCAATAATACATTTAATCTGCGGTCATCCCCTGTACCATCGCCATCAATAAGCAGTCTCCTTCTTATAACATCTTCTGTAATGTTGATTTTATGGTAATTATAGATTGTTAACTAAACGCAACATACAAGTTGTATACAAAACGAGGTAACTTTTCTGTAAATGTAAGGTTTTGTACTTACCATCACCCATGTTTAATATATAAATAAAATTGTTTACTTCGAGGTTTTAATTAAAAATGAATGATTTGAATATTATTTTTATTTTGCCTTTTGAAGTTTCAAATGTTTTGAGGTTTGACGCTTTTAAAACGAGTATAACGTTTTTGGGACGTACAGCCATCAATAAGAAAGTGCAAAAAAACTTTTTGTCGTTTCTAAACATTTAACTTTCGTTGTTTTTTTAGTAAATATATATTTTTTCATTTTTGTCTCAATAAATAATTTTCTAGATAAAGTGTAAGCCTCTTTTTGTTTTTTTAAACGGCAAAAATTTCACATATATGTAGTAGCCATTGTGCATATCTAAACGCATTAGAAATGTCAGTTTTATTCAATGTTATGATTCTAAGCAAGTGTAAGTCTACATTAGAAATAATGGAGATTTTTCTATTTTCCGTCAATTTCAATCGTCAATCTTTGTATCCCTCAGTATTCTTCACATAGATTTTCCATTTATAATGTCCGTAATCATGGAAAACAGAAATTTCAGTGATAAAGTGGAAGCTTACTTTTCGGAGCTAGGGCGACGGTTAGTCAACTTTGTTTTATTGTGATACCTGTATTATCTTTACTACCTAAAACATGGAAAACAATTATAAAAAACGGTTTATTTCAGGAAAGTGTGGGGAAGTATTATGCTGGGACAGATATTGTCTTTTATATTAAGTGGCAAATGCATACTAACAGCACTACTGCAAAGTGCTACATGGCAATTTCCCACCACAGCTCAGCTGATTATTCCATATTTATTGCTATTTATTTTATTTACACCGTCTTTGCTATGTGCGGACTTCAAAAAATTGACCAAGTAAGTAATTTGAAACATAACAGATAAGCTTTTAAAATAATGTTTTTTAGTATCCAATAAGCATGGAATTATGACAGACAAGTATATTCTACATCTTTCAATGGTTTGATATATCTTTATCTGCATAATCTAAGCTTCTATACCCATAAACACTTTTATATAAATTTTCATACATTTACTAGTTCTAGACAGTTGGGCAGGAGGCTTAAAAAAAGGAATTCAGTATTCTTATTTAAAGAAATAGCATATTAAAGTCATAGCATCTAATACTAATCTTTATATTTTAGAAGATGGTGGGTTTTAATCATGGCATGCACTTTGGATGTGGAAGCAAACTGGTTAATGGTTACATCCCAGAGGTTTACATCTGTACTTAGCTGACAGCTGCTTGCCTGTAGTGGTGTGGGCGCTGCATTAGTAGGTGGGGCAATGCGGGGACAGAGGCTGGGGGTCTCTCATGTTGCGGGAGCAACACTCGGCCTGATGGCTGTTGTTTGTGTGGTCTGGGCAGATGTGGAAGGTGCACCAACTGATGGTAATGTATAAGAAATTGTAATATTAGTAAGAAGTAAGATTGATATTTATATCAAAATTTGCTTTGATTAATTTAATTGAATGTTATACACATGCAGATTTCTTTTTGTTTACAGGTAAAAATCAGCTAGTAGGTGACATGCTTTGTCTGGCAGGTTCATTGCTCTATGCCTTGGTGACAATTCTTCAAGAGATGATGTTAACCAACCAATCCTGTTCAGAATATTTGGCTCTACTCGGTTGTATTGGAGGAATAGTTTCTTGCACGCAAACATTTTTTCTAGAATTTGATGAGCTACTTTTATTTAATTGGTTTGAGTTAGACACTATTATAGAATTTGGCAGTTTCTGTGGACTGCAGACTATATTTCAAATATTACAGAGTTTTATGGTAAGAGATGCAGGAGCTATTATACTTCATCTCTCGTTTTTATCAGCTGATTATTACACACTTATTGCTGGGATGTACATTTTCCAATTCAAGGTAAGGTTATCATTATCTTAAATTTAAACCCTTAAAAAGAAAAGTATGTTTTTAATAAATAATTTAAACAAATTGAGGTTTCTTTATATTGTATTTGGTGTAGCTTTCAATTTAATCAGAAGAACCCTTTCATTAACTATAATTCCTTGAAAAACCTGATATAATGCAGGGTTCTGTTTTTTTATTATTTGTTTTTCTTAATATTATTGTCTATACTTTAAAATTGATTTATTTTCAGTTTCATGCACTGTACTTCTTATCATACTTCCTGGCAATGGTGGGTGTATTCCTGTTCAGTGCGAGGTCCACTCAGCCCCCACCCTCTCCGGAAGCTTTGCCACAGCTCGTGAATGATGCTGTATATTCCCAGGATAATGTGTCTTTGTATGTATGATTTTCCAACGATTTTGTCCACATGGAATTTAATAAAACAATCTAGTAATGTAGCCTATGTCAGTGAAAACGCAATTTTTAATAGCAAAAAAAATTTTTGAACCTGTTCATGTAATTTTTTGGAAATTCTTTGACAGTTTCAATTTCTTTATTTTGAAATTCTATTGAAATTTATTGACATGTTAATCTAATCTATGTTCTAAAAGTCCTTTTTTTTAAGTTAAAATCTAAGAGCAGTAAATTAGCTTTTTTTATGAGACTTGACTAAAGTATTGATAGATTTTTACAGTATTTTTTACTAACAGTATAAATTATTTTAGGGAATATGCAGTACCGACGCTGGATTGTATACCTATAGAGGGTCTAGAGCCGCCCATGAGTAGAGATACGACCTTCACTTCGTTCCTCGGAGCTCCTCAGACTACTGTACCCAATGGTAACTTACTCGGACAAACACATGATCACCAAAGTACTTCTAAAGATTTGTAGCAAGCTTATTTGGTCCTGTAAGAACGACGCTGATTTATTACTGTCAGAAAAAAGGATACAGTACCAGCACTGATCTGTATGAATGGATAGGCGATCGTTTGAAAATGATAGGTTTTTTGTTTCGACTGAAATGCAATAAATTTTAATGACAAGTCTATCATTATTATGAGCTGAACTCCTCACAGCAACCAATCGCAAATGTCAGCTGTAAAATCGAGTATGTAAGTTTTTTATTGCCGAAATATAAAAAAAAAAAGTAATTTGAAACATTCTTCCAACCGAACATTGGAAAAATCTAACATTTTGTAAGCTTATAATCTGACGTGTAAGAATTGAAAATATGTTTTAAGAAGTATTAGGTATGGTGGCTTCTATATTGTATGTTATTGTTTATTAGATTTTTCTTTATAACTATACTGTGAAAATGTTTTAAATATATGTAGGGAAATATAATATATACATTATGTATTTAAATATTTAATGGACATGTAAAAAGTAAGAATATACTTTGTTAAATAAAACATTGTATAACTTTTTATTTTTAAAAATTCAGTTTACTAATATCTAGAAAGAAATTTCAGTTCAGATTTTAGACTTATCTTCCTTGGCAATGTATTGAAATTTGAGCTTTATACTATGGTGTGAGAGTTCATTTAACATGTAGTATTCCAGTGTGACCATTTAAAATTTAGTACTGCCATAATATGAATATTAATTCTAAGTAATTGTAGGACGATGTTTAAGTATTAAATTATAGCATAAGACGTTTTGTAAAATCTTAAATCTTTTGAAAATGAAAACTGCCATGTATTCGAATTTTTACAGAATTTTTTAAACCCGTTTAAAATTTTTGCAACTTTTACGAGGAGTTTTTAAAATAGTTTCTACACTAAAGTAAGGAATTGTAACCAATACCCTAGATAATTTTATAATATACATAAGTATTAATTAAAATCATGATATTTCCCTAGAATCTTATAGAAAAAAAATCTCATAGCATTTATTATTATTACGTATTTATCACATTCCATAAAATTATATTACTAGTTATATTGACCACAAAATAGCTCGATCAGAAATGTTGCCCTTACCATATTGCTGAAATATATGGAACAAACTCTGCGCACATTAGAAGTTATTAAGGCAATTGAAAAACCACCAGTGAGGATTTTTTATATTCTTGATTAGACTATGAAAACTATAATAATATAAGCTAGTAGAAAAATTATACATAATTAATAATTACCTTATAAATATTATAAAGACAAAGTTGTTTACAAATTTTGTTGCTAGAAATTTATTCCCCAAAAATATACTAGATTCATTTTAAATCTATTTTTATGTGTCATCCAGTCGTAGAATTCTATGTAACTACATTATTAAAAGGAATAATACTAAATAATTAACAATTAAAGTAATCATTACTGGTAATATTAATAGAACACCAATTTCCTGTCTTAGCACAAATCCTGTTAATATAAATTGATGTTATACATATTTTAATTACTTTCTTGTTGATGTAATAATTATTATTTTATTATTATAATATACAATTTACTGTTTACCTGTAAAAGTATGCAAATTAATGTAATAAATACTAATTAATCGTAATTGGTAATTAATGAAAATGTTATACTCTTTTAACTATGGTATGTTTGCTCAATTTATTTTATTGTTATGTTTTAGGTATTTCAATGAATTTTGTGATAATTGTTACACCAGTATATCTCAAACTGAAAGTTGTTTTTACTGTGATTTAATGTATTGAATTATTTTAATTTTAAACTGTTGCTTTTTATACTCAAGTTATACTTTACTATTTTTGATAATATTATCGCTCAATTACTGAATAGATTTTAATACGGGTTTATTAGGAAAATATTTATCCATTAGTTAAATTCTCCTAGAGTTAAGTTTTGTTTCCAATAAAATGAAAATAACGTATGCGTTGTGTTTATTTTAGTATCCCATTTTTTCTCTTAGAACACGATGAACCAATAGGGTTACTTCGTGTGCAACAAATACAGCTCTTGTAATTTTGGCCAAAAATTATTCATTCGGTCTATTATTCTTAACTACGGAAGAAAGCCCTGTAGTCAAACTCGATAAAAAAGTATAGACAAGCTTTCTGATTCTGACATTGACAATCGTCGACAGTTTTTTTTGATAATTGACACCGTCGTTTTGTCAAATCAAACATTTCTTTTTCAAAACATTTCTTGTTAGCGTCCTCTTGGTAATTAAAATGTTTATTGTTCATGTTACGTAGAAAGGTATTTTAAAAGAAACCAAAATGTCGCTTGAAATACCTTTGATGAGCACTGATGAGGTAATGAACACAACATCGCGGTATACGTTTTCTAGTACTGTCAGTGTTTCATAACTGGAATTTGTTACTTAGGTGATAGAGTTGGATCCAGAGCAGTTACCATCAGGGGATGAAGTATTAAGTATACTACAGCAAGAACGTCCTCAACTAAATGTTTGGATTAATGTCGCGGTAAGTTATACATAACCTCTTGTGTTATTGCTCCTTAGTTTTTAAAGGAACATAGTTTAACGCGATTTATAATCTTACAGCTTGCATACTACAAGCAAAAGAAAATAGAAGACTTCCTTAAAATATTAGAATCATCCAAGAACTATGGAAACCTTGACTACAGAGATTATGAGAGAGATCAAATGCGGGCCCTCGACATGGTGGCAGCATACTATGTGCAGGAGGCGAATAAGGAGAAGTCAAAAGACAAAAAGAAAGATCTTTTCACAAAAGCAACACTTCTCTATACGATGGCAGACAAGATTATCATGTATGATCAGGTAAATTAAATTATACTTTTGTATTATTTAAAGTATTCCTTCTGGTATATTATACCAGATAAACAAGTCTACTATGATATTTTACAAAAGATGTATGAACTTGAAACTATGCGGTTAATGATGTGTTTATGTTTATATCTAGAACCATCTTCTTGGCCGAGCATATTTTTGCCTATTGGAAGGTGATAAAATGGAACAAGCGGATGCCCAATTCAATTTTGTACTCAATCAATCACCTAACAATGTACCATCTTTGCTGGGTAAAGCTTGCATTGCATTCAATCGCAAAGACTACAGAGGTGCTTTGGCATTTTATAAGAAAGCTCTAAGAACAAATCCTGATAGTCCTGCAGCTTTACGTCTAGGGATGGGACACTGCTTTATGAAATTAAACAATCAAGAAAAAGCCAGGTAAACAGAATATTTTACCCGTATTTCATGTATTTTTGCTTAAAAGATGTGAAAAAGTGATTTTCAACTGACTTAGAAATAGAGGAGGATCACAGTTTGATAGATTTTTATTTATGTATTATGATTTATGTATATTATTTTATTGATTAGTCTGAGATTTGTGATCCAATTCAGGTGTTTCATATATTATTTGAGGAGGGAATACCTGCCATTTGGTCCCACTTATTTCATTACTACTATCCAGAATTATTCATAAACTATCCAGTGGTTTATGAGTTTTTCTGAAAAAGTGTATTGAAAGTTGAAAATATTTATCTTAAAGTCAGTTTTCGATTTGCTTACTTAATATATTATTTGCAGGATGGCCTTTGAAAGAGCCCTACAATTAGACCCTCAGTGTGTCGGAGCCCTAGTAGGGCTGTCAATATTGAAGTTGAACCTTCAGGAGAATGAGTCCAATAAAATAGCTGTCATTATGTTATCAAAAGCATATGCTATTGACCCTAAAAACCCTATGGTGTTGAATCATCTTGCTAATCATTTCTTCTTCAAAAAGGTTTGTTTTCTAGAGAAATCTTTTAATATTTATAGTGTGCACAACTTTGAACAAACTATTGTACAACTGTTTAGTCTTACTTTGATTTCTATGAGTTTATATGGAGGTGTGTACACTACTCGATTTTTAGTTATGCAACTAAACAGTTGAATTGGCAGCGAAACAATCGACAATCACAATACAATTGTGCGATAGTTTAGTCAAAGGTGTGTGCCCACTCTTAGTAGTAGTAGTAGTAGCTACGGTTTCCGCAACTCCACGACTAGCGCGTATTTTGCGTGAGAATAGGACATGGATTACTCCAGCCAACCCAGCCCACCGAAGAACCCCAGCAGACCCTTTATATTGCTGGTGATCTCAGGGAGCGATCTCGGCGAACCAAGATACCTAACCCTGTATTCAGTCACCGCTCGGCACTCTTACTCTTTAAGATGAATATTAAAAAAGATATAGTTGACATAAGTGACATAAATATTTCTTTAATAATTTTATATTGATTACTTTTCCTACTTAAATCTCCAATACTAACAAAGGGCTGGGGCTTTTTAATAATAAGAAAAATTTTAGCAACCTAATTTTTTTTTGTTTTGTTTTATACAGGACTATGGAAAAGTGTTGCATTTAGCGATGCACGCTTTCCATAATACGGAAAATGAGGCAATGCGTGCTGAGAGTTGCCATCATTTAGCTCGCGCGTTCCACGCTCAAGGAGATTGCGATCAAGCCTTTCAATATTATTACCAGGCAACACAGTTTGCTCCGCCTAACTTTGTGTTGCCACATTATGGACTTGGGCAGATGTATATTTATAGAGGAGATACTGAAAATGTAAGTAAATACTGTTGTTTCATTTATTCATCTTCAAAATATTGAGAACACAATAATGGAACATAACACTCATTTTTAACACTGTAGACCATATTATTTCAGTTCATTTAATTATATCTAATAAATATAGAGACATTATACTAAAACATATGTTTAAGCCCTTTGACTGCCTTGTTGATTATTGTGGTTGTTACCATGGTTATATGTTTCACCATAAAAAGTTATCACCACACTTATTTTGGTATAAGTACTTTGGTAATAATTGGTAAAAAGTTAAAACATGAGCCTATGCATAATCATGTATCAATTACTTTTTTTGTTAAAAACCCATGCTTGATTTATGTCATAGTATAAAAGGGTCATAAGTAAAGATGAAGATGGGTTGGTACATTTTTATGTCTCAATAATTTATCGCAATAACAAAACTAATTACTTTAGGCTGCACAATGCTTCGAGAAGGTTCTCAAAGCTCAGCCAGGGAACTACGAAACGATGAAAATCTTAGGCTCCTTGTACGCGAATTCTCCGTCGCAGTCGAAAAGAGATATAGCTCGGCAACATCTGAAGAAAGTCACTGAACAGTTTCCTGATGATGTGGAGGCGTGGATTGAATTGGCACAGATATTGGAACAAAATGATTTACAGGTATTATTATTTCACTAATATTATAAATGTGAAAGTTTAGATGGATGGATGTTTATTAGAGTTTGTAGCCTAAACTGCTGAATGGATCTCAATGAAACTTGGCATAAATATAGAGGATAGCCTAAAAGAATGCATAGACTATTTACTTTTGTTTTTTTATTCCCCTGTGGACGAATGCTACTTTTGTATTTTAAAAATTTCAATTAATTAAAAAAAAGCTAAAACAATTTTAATATTCTTGTAACTGTATATTTATTTTAGTTAAAATGAATAAACTATTTTAAATTAAATAAAAATGATGTATGAGAGTTTGAATATATTGCTTTTTACTTAAACATTTCATTTTTTTTCTTAATAATGTCGTTAATATTTTTATTACATATTTTTTTTTTGGTACATTAAATGTTTTATTCCAGGGTTCCCTAAATGCGTATAGTACAGCAATGAGAATCTTAAAAGATAAGGTAAATGCGGATATTCCCGCGGAAATATTGAACAATGTGGCCGCTCTACACTACAGATTGGGCAATCTCTCTGAAGCTATGAAATACCTTGAAGAAGCACTAGAAAGGTATGATGAAAATTTATATTTTACTTTATAAAAAAGCCATTATTAATTCATGATTATTTCATTTTCTTTTATCTTTCTTTTACTAATATTGTTAAAGCAAAAGTATGTTTGGATGGATGTTTGTTACTATGTATATCCAGAAGAAATAATGGATGTCTGAAATATAGTCTAGAAAAACATATAGGCTGTTTATTAACCCTTAAATGCACGATTTTTTTCCTTTTAAATTGAAACGGGTAGTGAATTGAACATAGATTAAGGAAAAACAAAGATTTTTTTTTTTTCAAAATAGTCTATTACGTATAGAAGAAAAGACTGATGTATAAATGCAACATCATGCCTTTAAGGGTTAAGTTTTTATTCTAAAGTCCGTGCAGACAGAGTCCCAAGCCCCAGCTAATAAAATTGTGCATAAAAATTAGTTCTACTTTTATGAACATACTAAAATGGAATACATTAAAATTACTGCTGTAATCTACTATATTTACTAGATATAGTAATTCATCTAAACTAATAAAATAAAGCGAAAACACACACTTCTTTGTGTCGTAAGATGTCAGCAACTACAGCATATTTTTAAATAATTCTTTGTTTTATAAAAAGGCCTACACTTACGTCATGCTTTAGGCTATATATTTTCACGCTTATAAACTTAGGGGGCAAATAAATTGGATACAAACCCTAATGTCGGAAAGAGACTATAAGCTAAGAGCTGCCAACATCAAGGAAGCAAAGTTGCCATGTTTTGTCATCATGTCATTTCGATATTTGGAATTAATTATTTGACAAATGTGAACAATAAAATAATATTTTCATAATTTCATACGGATGAAGCCGCGCGGGAACAGCTAGTTAGTGATAATAATAAATTTTACAAATTCCAGAGAGACGGTTGATGCAAAAACTTTAGATGCCCAATATTATAATTCAATAGCGGTGACAACTATGTACAACTTGGCACGACTTAACGAAGCTCTCTGTATATACAACAAGGCTGAGAAACTATATAAGGATATATTAAAAGAACACCCTAATTATATTGATTGTTATTTAAGGTAAGAAGTTAATTTATGCTAATATTATAAAAAGGTAAGATTTTTATTTTTTTATGTATTGAAATAACTCAAAAACTACTGGACCGATTTTAAAAATTCGTTAACCGTTAGAAAGGGAATTTATCTGTGAGTAACATAGGATATATTTTAATTATATGTGTGTAGTCGCGAGCAATAGCTAGTGTTAAATAATCTGAGTTCGTTTGAGATTGACTTTATATCACACTTTATTTAAATAGGTCTTTAAATGTATCAGTTCTAGTATTCTTTGATTATATCAAGGATGTCTAGTGTTCAGATGATGTTTTAGTAACAATTTATTACCAATGGTACCTTTTAGGAAATTTGTGGTAAGATTTTATACCACCTTTATTGTCTATATCTAAAAGTATGGTTTGAGATTTTCTAATTTTCTAAGAATTCACGAAACTCACTGCATTTAAGAAACAATTACATAAACACATAATATAATATTGAAATGTATATATATATTATTATATTATATAATTCACGGTGTTTGTATATGACACGTGATATTATATTTCTCCCCTTCCCCCTCATAGAGATGTTAAGTGATGTTTAACACCCTTCACCTAACCTTTTATAATAGGTAAGTTATGTATAAGCAAGGTATATAAGATGAAGGTATTACAAGGTTGGGATGCATGGCGCGCGACAAGGGGCGCATCTACGACGCCTCGGACTGGTTCAAGGAGGCGCTGAAGGTGAACACGGAGCACCCCGACACCTGGTCGCTGCTCGGCAACCTGCACCTCGCGCAGCAGGAGTGGGGCCCTGGACAGAAGAAGTTCGAGAGGATCCTCCAGAACTCCGCCACCAGTACTGACGCCTACTCCCTCATAGCGCTCGGTCAGTTCAACTCGAAGATAATCTATACATATAATAAAATTGGACTGTCTGTTTGTAATATCAAAAGAAAATTCCAGATTTCGGGAAGATGATGTATTTGCGTTGCTGGTAACGAAAATCGCATTTAATTTTTTTTTTGTCTGTCTGTCTGTCTAGATATATAAATTGAAATCTTGATCTGATTTAATTCAATTAATTGATACATGTATAAGTAACGCCCGCGACTCCGTTCGCATGGGATTTAAAAAACATAAAAGTGAGTAGTCTATGTGTTCTTCCAGACTATCCTCTACATCTATGGCAAATTTCATCGAAATCCGTTTTAGCCATTTAGGCTACAAAGTCTAACAAACATCCATCCATCCATCTAGACTTTGACATTTATGATATTAGTAAGAAGTAAGATTGTTTAGGTAACGTGTGGCTGCAAACTCTACACCAGCCGTGCCGCGAGAAGGAGCGCGAGAAGCGGCACCAGGAGCGCGCGCTGGCCATGTACAAGCAGGTCCTCAAGAACGACCCCAAGAACATCTGGGCCGCCAACGGCATCGGATGCGTGTTGGCGCACAAGGTATACCACAACTCACATATCTTGTCTGCTCGGAACATTATGCAGAACATAATATTCGTGTACAGTCTTGGAAATCCGCGGTGTCCCACTTTAGGAAAAATTGGCTATTATTAGTAATTACTAAATAGATAGCGGTGAGTGCAAACGAAGGGTTAATAATAAAAAAATCTAGCCTTGTGTCTCTAACCGACATTTTTATATATAAGCTATTTTAGCTAAGTTAGCAAAATATTAAAAATCAATTAAATTGAGAATTGTTTTAACAATTTACCTGTTATTAGCTGTTGCTCGCGACTACGCGTGAAAAAAATATCCTATGTTACTAATCACCTTTCTAACGGTAAAATAATTTTTAAAATTGGTTCAGTAGTTTTAGTGTTGTTTCAATATATGTAAAAATACAAATCATTCCCCTTTATAATGCACTAGCTATTTCTAGCGACTTCGTCTCCGTGAAATTAAAAAATTAAAGATATAGCCTAGCCTATATTACTCACAGATAAATTAGCTTTGTAACGTTAAAATAAATCTTAAAATCGGCCCAGTTTTTCTTGAGTTATTTCAATACATTAAAAAAAAAACAAAAACACAAATCTTTCGCCTTTATAATATTAGTATAGATATAGACATCACTGTTATAAACTATTGTAAATACGCAAAATATTAAAACAATGAAATTCTTTTACGAAATGATGTATTATTTAAAATTACTTGTAATGTTTTTTTTAGTTATTTGTTGTGTATATTTGCAGGGTTGTATCAACGAGGCGCGCGACATCTTCGCGCAGGTGCGCGAGGCGACGGCCGACTTCCCCGACGTGTGGATGAACATCGCGCACATATACGTCGAGCAGAAACAGTACATTAACGCCATACAGATGGTAAGAATACTATTTATTAACGGGATAGTGGGAAAACACAATATATTTAGGAAATAAGATTAAGGCCATTGCTTTTAAGTAACTATGGGAATCTTAATTCTTTGTTGGTATTGGTATTGTAATCAAGATCATAACCTTTTCCAGCCTTACAAATAAAGCAAAATTTCTACTAATACTTGTAAGGTTGTTACATTTTTCGAATATCGTAAATGCAAAAGTTTTGACGGATTTCGATGAAATTTAATATGGTTGGTTACTTTTAGTTAGACACAGTATGTGCTGCTCTTCTATACGTCTCTATCAGCCTTCATATCTGAATCCACGCCCATCTTAAGCATATCCTCTTTAACACAATCCATCCATACTTTCTTCGGTGTTCCTCTTCCTTTGTAGCCATCAAGTTCATTCTTAACACTTTCTGGTTTATGTCCCCATCGTCTCGTCGCATAACATGTCCATAACACGCTAACTTTTTGCTTCTCAATTTCTCCACCACTGGCGCTACTTACAAACTTCCTCTAATATACACATTCTTGACATTATCCATTCTTGTCACACCACACATCCAACATCGACGACAAGTCATATGATGGACTTGTAGATCTCTCCCTTAAGCTTAAGAGGCATTCTTGGATCGCAAGTCACAAATGAACGGATAGTTAATATGTTTGTTGTGTGTGCAGTACGAGAACTGCATCCGCAAGTTCCGCATGGCGCACGACGAGGAGTGGCTGACGTGGGTGGCGCGCGCGCAGGGGCTGGCGGGGCGGGCGCGGGCGGCGCGCGCGGCGCTGCTGCGGGCGCGCCGCGTGGCGCCGCACGACGCCGCGCTGCTGCACAACACGGCGCTGGCGCTGCGCCGCCTCGCCGCGCACGTGCTCAAGGACGAGCGCTCCGAGCTCGCCGTCGTGCTGCGCGCCGTGCACGAGCTGCAGGTCTCGCACAGGTAACCTTCTTACAATATAAGGTGTCGAAAGAACAAGCAGCTTGAATCCACTGCTGGCCACAGACATCCGCAATATACCCTATATGCATCTATTTTTTCAAACGATTCTAGTTATAAAAAAACCAGAAAAAAAAATTGACGCGAAAATATTCAACCATTGAGCTAAAAATAATAAATATTACGACCATTTTCGAGCGACAAAAACGCGATCGGAGTTGTCATGAGACACGTGACGTCAATTGTCATATTGCATTCATAACATACGCTCAGATGTCACTTCGATGTAAATAACAACAAAGTATCTCATTGCTTCTCAAGGTCAAAAAGTCAAAAATCGATTGATTTTTATTACTCCTGGTACAAATAAGTGGTAATTAATAATTCTATTCATTAATTTTTTATTTTAAAGTTGGTTTTGATATTGTGTTTACAGTAAAATACTTCAAGAGTGTATTTCTATATAAACTAACGTAAATGAACTGTGTATTTTTACAGTAATAAAGTATACTTAAAAAAAGTTTGCTGCAATTTGGCGCATATGCATATTGCCTATTGCAGATGTTGTCTTCTTAATTGACGGTGATAAAGATGACATTTCCCCTTCTTATAAGAAAAGGGTAGAAAGGGAAAGGGACTAAAATTAGACCACCGGCAACACTGATCAGACGAAAAGCAGAATTTCAACATCACGCCTGTCTTGTGTGGTGGTAGTGCTCCGGACGAGCCCTACAGTGCGAGTTAAAGTGGACTCTACCACTGTTGAAATCTTAATATAGATTAAATTTGAAATATTCGAAGTTTCCAGCTTACAGTAATGGTGTACTGTCAGGTACTTCCAGCGGCTGGCGAGCGCGGGCGGCGAGGGCCAGGAGCGCGGGCGGGCGGAGGCGGGCGCGGGCGCGGGAGCGGGGGCGGCGGCGGAGGCGCGCCAGTGCGCGGACTTACTATCGCAGGCGCAGTGGCACGTGGCGCGCGCCCGCAGGCAGCATGATGAAGACCTCACCTTGAGGGACAGGCAGCGAGAACAACGAGAGGCGTTCCGTAGACAACAGGTTAGTAGACAGAACCTACAGACCCCTACAGTACGTTCCACCGGAAATCCCGGAATGCCACCAGTAGGGGACGGCCACTGAGAGGGTTTAGTGGGTATAATTCTATATACCAACCCGCAGTGCAGCGTGGTTGACTATGACCTAGCTACCCTGAGAGCTGGTAGTGATAAATCCTACAATAGCCTGTTCCACTCCGGGGATTAAGATTTCTCCATAAAAAGAAAATGTGAACACACCCAAAAACACAAAACTAAAGTACAAAACCTTCACCTATTTTGATACTGTAATTATATTTAAACAATTATGGTAATGACTGTTTCCTTCTTTTAACGTTGTCATAATATTTACTTAGTAATTTTTTGTTGGTTTGTAATCTACACTGATATAAAGAGAAAATATTTTTATAACTCAAAAACCACTGGACAAAATCAAATTCCTTACCATTAAAAAGCTACGTTATTAGTATCATATACTACTTTTTTTTTATTTCACACGGTAAAAATCGCCAGCAACAATAATACAAGAAACAATACAAATGTAAGCCATATATTTGTATTGTTTCTTGCTTGATTCGCCATCCATCCTTATTTAAAGTAATCTAGAAACCCGTACTTACTATTTTTAAAGTCTTTAATATAAATGTAAGTAGCGTAATTAAATTTAAGTGTTCAATTAAAAACTCAGCTACTGCCTACTAAAATGGCGCGCTATTCCAATACATAAATGACATTGACAGCTGTCAGATAGGGATGGCACGTTTGCCAATAATCTAGTGTTGCGCCACTCCAGTTCAGTACTTATGTTCTTAACACTGACAGGAGGAGGAGCGCAAGCGTCGCGAGGAGGAGCAGGCGAAGAGTACGGTGGAGATGCTGCAGAAGCGCCAGGAGTTCAAGGAGAAGACGAAGAACGCGCTGGTGTTCGCGGACATGCCGGCGGAGGGGCGGCCGCGCGCGCGCAGGCGACGCGACGAGTACCTCTCTGACTCGCCCGCTAGTGGGAGCGACGCGCCGCGGGAGGAACGGTCAGTGGTACTTTGTTCTGCTTACCCCAATACGTGCAGATAATACCAACCACCACCGTCAAGAATACCTTCTTAAACTTAATTAAATTCTTGATAATATTATCATAAAGAGTAAAGATTTGTTAAAAAGCTATGTTATCACCGAGTAACATAGGTTACATTTTTTAATTTCACGCAGACGAAATCGCGAGCAACAGCTAGTTCTTGTTAAAGAAGCATGATACATGGTTTGCATGTGAAGGAGCGAAAGTAGAGCCTGAGTAATTATTTGGTTGTATAAATTCGATTGGTCCAAAGGGAAAAGCTCTCAATGTGTCGTTGTATATTGTGTTTGCAGTCGCGAGGCTAAGCAGAAGAAAAGTCGCAAGCGCGAGGGCGGCGAGGGCCGCAAGGGCAAGTCTCGGCAGCGGCGCGACCGCGGCTCCGGCAGCGACAGCGACCCGCCTGCTAAACGTGGCAGGAAAAAGGTATATACATACATACATAAAAAATATATATAACATATATTAAAAAAACATACATATCGTTAAAGTTCTAACACCACGGTTGTCAAAAACAGCAACTTTTCAGGAGAGAGACAAAACTGCATAACTTTGTAAAGATACTATAACAGTATACTGTTTGTGTATACTTAATTATTGTTAGATTACCTTCCGCCCGCGACTTTGTCCGGGTGCAAAATGTCAAAATAGTCAAAAGGTGATTTACGAGGTATTAGAACTTCAACGACGATATACATATATAGATACATACACACAAACAGATTAAATAAAAAGTAGTAGCATATGTATTTTTCCAACCATCCATCCAATCTTTCGCATTTATAATATTAGAAAAATTATTTATTTAATTTACAAATGTGTATCAATTTTTATCTTCATTATATAGTATATGATTATTTTTACAGGGTGAGAAAGGTATCGGCAAACGTGAGAAGGGCTCTAAAGGGAAGTCTGACGAGAAGGGCGGCACGAAGCTACGCATGAAGATAGTTTCCAAAGAGACTATCTCTACGTCGGAGTCGGATTCGGACGCGTCGCGTAAGTCGCGCAGTCGTAGTCGCAGTCGCAGTCGCAGTCGCAGTCACAGCGGCAGTCGCAGTCGCAGCCCGCCGGCTACTAAAGGCCGCAAGAGAATTGTATCCGCGTCTGATAGCGATCGGTAAGAACATACTGTCATTTTGTTTAGAACATTAGGCATTAATATAATTGTAACTTTTTTTCTTAGACCACTAACTCCCGCCAGAATGGCGCGCTATTTTATACGTCTGAATGACATTGACAGATGTAATAGTGATGGGACGTTTATGCCACTGATGTAGTGCTGCGCCAATCCTCCAGGGCTTCACTGATTTTCTCGACAGTAGATTATGAGAATCTAAATTGGAACTTTGCAACGATTTTTAAATGTATTCTTAGTTAATTTATTCATTTTGTTTAGATCACGTTCGAAAAGCCGCTCTAAATCACGTGGCCGTTCACGCTCTGGATCTGCGAAGAGCCGTTCTCGCTCTAAAAGCCGATCACGCTCAAAGAGCCGCTCTCGCTCCAAAAGCCGCTCTCGCTCCAAGAGCCGTTCTCGCTCCAAGAGCCGTTCTCGCTCAAAGAGCAGATCTAAGGGACGTTCCCGCTCCAAGAGTCATTCACGGTCGAAGAGTCGATCAAAGTCTAAGAGCCGATCGCGATCCCGATCGAAGAGCGGTTCAAGGTCCAAAAGCCGTTCAAGATCCAGGTATGTATGCTTTTAAATTACAACGTTAATATTGTTATAGTCAAGTTAAACATTTTGGAACACAATTTTTAATTTAAGATAATTTTTTCAATGTTTAATTTTTAATAATGCGTATATGTAATCTTCACAGGTCAAAGAGTAGATCAAGGTCGAAGTCAAGGTCGCGTTCGCGCTCCAAGAGCGGTTCCAGAAGTCGTTCCGGTTCCCGGTCGCGTTCAGGCTCGAGATCTAGATCCGGATCTAGGAACTCCAGACCAGACACGCCCGTGTCTAGGAAATCAGTTTCCGCAAGTGAAGACGAGGCTTAGATTAGCCACATTGCATATCTATATTAAATCAATTTACCTATGTGGTATTAATGCCCATGGTTACGTTTTCTGTGTATTATAATAAAGATATTAAAGTTTCACAAAATTATTGTTTGTTTTATTTCAAAAGGAAAATTTGATTTCTTTGTTTTGTCATGAATGTTGAATCTGTCCTCTGTTTGACAGTTGTGCCAATGGCGCGGAATGCGAATGTCAGTGTCAGTGTCAGAGTGTTGTAAATATTTGTGTTTGTTCTCTTTTCTGTTGAATATCTTGTTTTAATTAATTTAAATAGTTATGATGATGATATAAATGTATAGATAAAAGTCTTAAAGATTTGAGGACAATGATTAATTACATCTTGTTAAGGTGATAATTAATATTTAAAATGGATATGCTGGAGCCAGGTAAACGAATAAGTTTAAAACGCGCGCGTCCTAATCCTTTATTTCAAAGCTGGCTAGAGGAACTAGAAGAAGAGGCTAAGCAGAAGAAAAGCAAACATGAAAATAAGATAACGGAAGCTTTAACTTCTCTTTCCAAATATCCTTTACCTCTACATTCAGGTGCTGAGTGTGCTATCCTTAAAGGTTTCGACAAACGATTATGTATATTCCTAGACAAAAAACTACAAACATATAATACATTTAAGGGGATATCTTTACATTCTATTGACCGGTTAAGTAAAGAAAGTAGAGTAGACCATATTTCAGATAGAATTGATCCGAAAACAACAACATACGAAACAGAAGAATGTGATATAGAAATTATAGACGTTGCGCCAAAATCTAATAGCCAAGTAAGTACCAGTCCACTGAATTCAGTGAGTCCTAGTAAATCTAACTCTGACTCAATTTATAAGCCATCTTATGGATCTGGAGGTTATGCTATTTTACTGGCATTGTATGAACAGTCTTATAAGGAAAATAAACTAATGGATAAGGAAACATTGATTGAACATGCTGAAAAATATTGCAGTACATCATTTACTATTAAAAAGAACACATTCTATACAGCTTGGGCCAGTATGGGTAAATTAATAACTAAAGGCTTAGTTAGAAAAGCTAAAAGTGGCAAAAAAACTGTATATTCTTTAACCGATGAAGGTTACTTAATAGCAAGGAATTTATCAAAAAATGCACCAAAAACATCAATTGTAGAGGACTTGATTGGTATTCACAAAAATCCTCAACAAACAATACAAAATGAATATAATTCAAAAGATCTTTCAGTTGAAGATGCTTCAACAAATAGTCAAACTTCAGTACAAAATTCACAAATTATTTGTATGGAAATGGCAGCAGATACATTTGATATAATATTACTAATAGATAAACAGGAAACAAGTGGGTATGTTGCCGTTTTATATACATTTTGCTGGAATTTAAATAATTTAAGTGTAATGTAAAACTACACAAGCGGGCACTACAACTAACAGTGGTAGTGCCCGTTTTGACATCTTAGCACGTCCGGCATGTCGTCCGGTGTAATACCACAACCACACAGAAGACAGGCGTGAAATGGAATCAATTCCGTTTCACCTAATTAGTGTGGTGCTGGAGGCCTAATTTAAGTCCCTTTCTTTTTACCACCCTTTTCTCATAAGGAGAGGATGGGAAGGGGAATTGAATTTGACGGTGGGGGAGATGCATAGGAAGGAATATTCTCTTTATGTGCGTCTCCTCCTCGTCGGATAAGGGTCGGCAACGCATCTGCAATTGCGGATGTCTATGGGCAGCGGTCTCTTCGCCATTTTGGCAGATTCAGGTGGCCGCTTGCTCGTTTGCCACCTTATGATATAAAAAAAAAGGTAAACATTGTGAATAATAAACTACGTGGAATGAAAAAATTAAGAGGCTCATTCTAGACTAATCTATTTATGTGTCAAATTCTATACAGATTAATTGAGCTGTATCGGAGTTAACTGCTAACAATCCATCCACCTAAATATTCTTTATTATACTAGCAGTTTATAGGATAGTAGATTTCAATTAAATTAGTTCATAAATAATGCTTTTTTTCCAGAGTTAACAATAAAAATGATCCGACAGTTGCACAATTTAAAAAATATCCGAACATATACCATGAGTACAGGTCACTAAAAGTTGGTGATTATACATGGATTGCTAGACGAAGAAACACTGAACAGGAGTTGGTACTACCATTTATTGTAGAAAGAAAGAGGTTAGATGATTTAGCGGCCAGTATCAAAGATGGCAGATTTCATGAACAAAAATTTAGGTTAAGACGATGTGGCATAGAAAATGTGATATATTTAATTGAAAATTATGGTGGTAAAAAGAATGTAGGACTACCAGTACAGTCTTTAATGCAAGCATTAGCAAATACAAGGGTAAATGATGGCTTTAAAGTGCATATAACTAAATCTTTGATTCACACAGCAAGATTTCTGGCAATAATGACTAAAAGGCTTGCTTTCAGATTTCAGGTATGTTCAAATTAATTATCCAATAAAAAAAATATGTAAGTTATGCTAAATTATCTATAAATGTAATAGCTTTATGAAATGCGAAAACATTAGAACATTAATTTTCTTAGCAAATGTGCAAATATAATAGCAAATGTTAGATGTCAGGCCCAATTAAAAAAAAACGTTCTCTTTTGAAATTCGTCTCATTTATAATATATGGTTGCAAACGAGGAAGCGGTTACTTGAATTCGCCGAAATAGCGAATAAATATATGAATATTATCATCATCAACTTGTCCTTGTCCCTAGGCAGCGTCAGCACAGTATGTGTTGCTCTTCCATACACGTTATCAGCTGTCATATCTGAATCCACTCCTTTAAGCATGTACTCCTTCATGCTATCTATGTATATAAAATTATTATATGGAGAAAAGTTAAAATTTATTTAAAATATAATTTTTTGTTTCAGAATAAAAACTTAAAGGGATGGAATGCACCGCCTGAAGGACACACATTAATGACATTTGATTATTTTAATAAAACTACAGTAAAAAATAAACCTTTAACTGTTACTGAGACATTTATTAAAATACTACTTCAATTAAAAGGAGTTTCTGTAGAAAAAGCTTTAGCGATAACCAGTAAATACCAAACTCCAAATTCTCTTATAAGTGCTTATAAAGTTTGTAATCAAAAAGAAGGTGAATTTTTACTAGCAAATTTAAAACATGGAGAGTTAAATAGAAATGTTGGACCTACAGTTAGTAAAACAATATATCAACTATTTTCAAGAACTAGTTAAAATTATATTACCCCGTGGGAGAAGAAATATTTGTTCAGCAAAAAAAGTTTTTGTAATTTATGTCATGATGTTTGAGATAAAATCTTTTATACATTCATGTTACTTAAATTACGTTATTTAATAAAAACCATGTTGTGGAGCTCAGATTTATTGGATGTTCAATGAAAACTATAAAATTATAAAGATGCATTGATATTTTGGTTAAGTTAATGAGAAACGTAACAAATGATATTAAGCTTTTAATAATGAACTTAATAGTTTTTCTACAAATTTATTTGTTTTAATGACTGACTATTAGTATTTAATAAATTATGTATTTGTTAATTCTTAAATCATGTCGCTTATTAAATGACAAAACATTTTTTTATTGTTTTATTTTCTACCAATATAAAACCTTTGAGTTTTAACCCTTAACTTGGCAGAAATTTATTTTTTCGAATATCAAAATAATATTCATAGCATAAGTGCTAAACACCTTGATGACCCAAGGTGTTTAGAAAAATAATAAAAAAAAATGATGTATTTCTACAGATACACTAACAAGAAAAGGGTTAAAAGTATTTGTGTGGCATAAGAAAGATGTAATTGCTTCTTTATTCAGTGATTTCTCCAGTATATTGTATTTTTGTTCGCTTAAAAAGTAGGACTTATTGGACATGGAATAAGCTATTCAATAACTAACGTATAAGGGCTTCGGCCCAAGCCGATGATCGAGGGAATGAAGGCATTGTAAATTGTTTTTATTATAAAGAGAATGCACATTAACATATAGTCTAACCTATTGTATAAGTTTTTTGAGTTGTTTACGCGAATTTAAAGGGATTGAGAGCATTCTAAAGACATTTATCTTACTAATTGCTAGACAATGCTGTAAAATGCTAGTTTTGATGGATGTTTGCTAAGAGTTTGTAGCCCAAACTGCTAAAGGGATCTCAATGAAATTTGGCATAGATGTAAAGGACAGTGGAACTGGAAGAACACAGGCTGCTTTTGTTTTCGTTTTTTTAATTCCACGCGGGCGAAAGCTAGTTTTATGATATTATTTAGCGAGAGGTAGCTATTGGCGACGCTCGTTTTTCGTATTATTTTGAAATTGCAATTAAAACTATCTAGTATAAAATAATATTGTAGAATTTTTGAAATAAAACCAATAATATCACATATATATCTTTATTAACACAACTATTCACGAGTGACAAGAATAAAAGAGCAGAATAATTGATAGGATACAAGCCTGTAAATACTCCACTAACACATAAATAGATGAGATTTATAAGAGCACTTTAGGATGGAATGAACTTTCCCCAGTTTACAGAATCACAAAAAGCAAAATGCGCACATTGGTTCAGCACGTAAAGCAGTACAAATATAGTATTACAAATAGTGATTAATCGAGATTCGAGAAGGTAACAGAGATTCAAAGGTGAATGAATTGTGCCAAACCAATATTTCACTATTTTAGACCCTTTTCATCATCACATTGCGTTACCTTACAACAACACTTAATAATATGCTTACAACTATTTATAAAATGAGGATCCCGTGCATACAATGAAGTGATTCTACAATACAAATGTGTTTACTGTTAATAAAAATCTCATCGGAACATGGCACAGGTGAATAAGAAAAATCCATCCCTAAGATTAATACACATCTTTTAACATCAATTATATAATATGCATTTCAAAACAGTTTATAATTTGGAGTATTACAATATTATCTTTAACATCTAATAAATTCACAAAAAATCTTAGATATCTTCCAAATTTACACAAAATTATCAAAATTTTAAAATATTGGATGTATGCAATTCACATTATTTGGTCTTAGGCAAGTGATATTGAGATTCAAGAAAGGAAACAGTTACATTTCTGACAAATAAAATGCAAAATTATACTATAATATCAGCTGCTTTCATATAATTAAAATTCCCAGTCCCCATTATAATTCGGTAAAATCAATCTTATAAGAAACGAAACTAGGGCAACCCTGTTTAAAGACAAACTGGCAACATTTAGTGCACAGAGAAAAAAAAATAAAATACACATCTTCTAATGTAACAAAAATTTAAGGCTCATTTATTTAATGTGCCTTTTGAAACGTAACTAAGGAATAATATAGTGCACCTTAACAACAGACAAGCTTAACCTTACGTTACACTTACAGAGTGTGGTAATTCCTTTCAGTGTGATTCTTGTAATATTTGAAGCCAATAAATCCAATTGCAAGTAAACCGAGGGTAAGAATTATGCCACCAATGAAGCTGGGACCATCAAATCTGCAAAAAGAAAACAGCATTATTAGTTAAAGCTATAAAGATTCCATGTTAATGATAGTATTAGAGAAGGGGAGAATTTATGAATAAAGGAGAAAATAGGAAATAGTGTCCATATTGCGAAAAAGTCATATTAGAAATAAGACAGAAAAGACTTAAAAGAACTTAAGCACATATCAAGTGTTTTTGTGGTGCAATATCACTAAATAAATAACTTACCCTCTAGCTTGAAGAGTTGGCTTGTCTTCATCCTTTTTAGGTGCTCCTGTGGGTTTGGGAGTCATGGGACTCTTCTCAGTGGAGGTAACAGGGGTCTTTTCAGTCTTCTCCTCGGGTTTAGCTGGTGTCACATCCTGTTTCTCTGTGCTGGCTTTGGTCTCTGGCTCGGGTTTCGCAGGCACAGTTTCTTTTGCTGGTTCTACTTTCTTTTCGGTTTCTTTCTGTGGTTCCATATCCTTTTTGGTTTTGTTTTCGCTCGGAGCGGTTTGAGGAGCAGTGGTTTTTTCATTAGGTACGGGTGTGGCTTGCGTTGTACTGGTCTTTTCACTTGTAGTGGTTTGGGCAGGTTTTTGTTCTGTTACACCGGTTATCGCGGGGGATTTTTCTGTTGCAACTGGAATTTTGGGATCTGGAGTGGCATTTGCCTGCGGCTGAGTAGGTTTTCCTGTAATTGTACATTGAAATAAATTACAACCAGTAACTTTGCCTTGAATTATCAAATTAAAATTGCCTTTACATATCAAAAATGGACATCTAAAGATTTCTACAGGAATCACAAAAGTTCACAACTTTGTTTTAGATTTAGAGAGATTCCTTGTACAAAATTCAAGTAAATTTTTTTACAAACTGAAATTGATAAAAATTTTAAAGTATAGCATGGGCGTCGCCAGCCGATGGTCGAGGTGGGGCGTGGGGACTTGTAGTGAAAATTCTTTTTTTTTTTTTTTTATAACATAAGGTGGCAAACGAGCAAGCGGACACAAGAATCCGCCAAAATGGTGAAGCGACCGCTGCCCATAGACATCCGCAATCGCAGATGCGTTGCCTACCCTTATACGACGGTGGAGGAGACGCACATAAAGAGGATAACCCCCCTTCCTATGCATCTTCTCCACCGTCAAATCCACTTCCCCTTCCCAACCTCTCCTTATAAGAAAAGGATGGTAAAGAGAAAGGGACTTAAATTAGGCCTCCGGCACGACACTCATCAGACGAAACACGGAATTGCTTCCATTTCACGCCTGTCTTCTGTGTGATCGTGGTATTACACCGGGCGTGCCGGCCCATTCGTGCTAAGATGTTAAAGCAGGCACTACCACTGTTAATTTTATTATAGAATGCTTATAAATACAAACAAATTAAAAGTCTTTTTGAACTATGTATGAGGGATAGGGATCGTTGGCATCTTAGTATTTTGATATAATTTTTACATGTAGTTTGCAACTTTCATGTTGCAAAGTCCCGCCAGAAATGGTTGTGAGAGATTGTACTGTTAAATGTTGTGTAATATTTCACAATCATGAGTGTTGGGATAAACCAATGAATTTTACCAGGGAAAAAGTTAACAATTAAGTATAAATATTCTTAAGAAATATTTACTTGGTTACTATTTATTAGGATATGTTGAAATCTACACTCTATCTGGTTATGCAAATGAGACACGAGTAATCTAACAAGATACTTTATAAAGAATTTTATACTCAGTATAGCTCAAATATTTAAATATCCCTGTTCTCACGTATATTTATGTATAATTTTATGATTCTTGGTTATCTCCAATAAACAAGATTTAATTTGCATTTACAAATACAATACAGTGGGTTTCCACTGTTAAAACATGTTTGAATAACATATAGATATCCTTGTCATTTTGTTAACAAAATTTGAGTCAATAATGTTTTTGTACATGTTTACAGGCAATGGAAGGTTACAGATAAAGTTTACATACAGATGGAAGATTTTGTTAATATAAGGATTATTCAATACCAAAATTAACATAAGTCATTACAAATCTTTTTTCTATTAATCCATTTTTAATGTAACTTTAGTACCCATCATCAACTTGCCCTTATCCCTTATGGAGGGTCGGCACAGTATGTGCTATTTTTCCATACATCTCTATTAGCCGTCATATCTGAAACCGCTCCTTTCTTAAATATATCCTCTTTCACACAATCCATTCATACTTTCTTCTGTCTTCCTCTTCCTTTGTAGCCATCCATATGCATTCTTAACACTTTCTAGCTTATGTCCCCATCGTCTCGTCATAATGGTTAGGTGGAGTCATGGTCAAGTGCTGGTTTGTTTATGTTAAAAAAATGTAACTTTAGTACTACATACCACAAAGTTTGGTAGTAATTTTATAAATAATTTTCATCTATATTGTTTTGAAAAAGGCACTATATTGATATAAGAGCATAGAAACTTGCTCTTATCATATTTATTTTCAAACTTTAAGTAAAATATATCAATAATATTAACAAATTGATCCAAGTTACCCTACCTTGGGTAGGTTTCCATTAATAGTCTTTATCATATTATGTTGTAAGTTAAACGACTTAAGGCAAGTAGAAAGTAATTATATTGACAGTAAGTCAAGGTCAAGTAACTTTGCACTGATATACTGTACAAAGGTACAAATTAAATATTATTTTTGCCTCCAAATCCATCTGCATGAAATTAAAAAAAATTGTGTGTTCTTCCAGACTAGACTCTACATTAAAGCTAAATTTCAGCAAGAACCATTCAGTCATTTAGGTTGTATACTTAGGCACGCTGACCTTACAGGAGTAGGATAAGGCAGGTTCCGACATAACCACCCTTGTCCCTGTAAGGGTGGTATGCGTTAGGCATTTCCCCAGGATAAAAAAAAAAGGATAAGGCAGGTGAGATGATTATAATTATATGTTTAGAGCTTGAGATACTGTTATAATAATATATAAATATATGAAAACCAGCTTTCGCCCGCGACTCCGTCCGCGTGGAATTAAAAAACGAAAACAAAAGTAGATAGCCTATGTGATCTTCCATACTATCCTCTATATATATATACCGAATTTCATCAAAATCCGTACAGCCGTTTAGGCTAAAATCTCTAATAAACATCCATCCATCTAAACTTTCGCATTTATGACATAAAATTGAACAAATATAATGTTAACATTACATTGATTTGTTATAGCTTCAAAACGAGTTATGCTCATTAAGCTAATTATGGAATCTAGTTTTAATATGAAACTAATTTCGGACCTGTTGTTTTAAAAAGATAAAATATTAAGTGAACTTACACATTTCAACTGTAATATTTAAGAGATATGAAAAAAAACAATAAAAAAGACATTTTTTGACTAAAATTCAACCGGAAATGAAATCGTTGACAGTAAACAACGTAAAAATATAACACGAATTTGTTAAATATGGCGGTATTTTGTGATTAAAGAAAACCTGAAATTAATTACAAGCGATATACTTGTCTATAATTGCATTTCTTTAATGACGTCTTTTTCAAAATAAATAAATTGTAATAATAGTTTTATAGTTTTAGATAACGATTAAAATGGTTTCTCTAATTTTCTTTCGTAACGGTACGTCATTATTATTAAATGTAGCGTCAAGCTTACAATTATTATATGTATCAATGTGGAATGTACACATTTCTTGATAATAAACAAGTTAACAATAAAACAATAACATTGGAGACGCAAGTACATAGTTTCGATCTTTAAATAATGGTTGACTACGTAAGTACAGAATACAACATATAGTATGAAATGGTCGAATATTTGGATATAGTTCAAACCTTGCAGAGATCGACTAGTAATATTAGAAAATGTGATGAAATTAAGCAACCGCGTTGTGGGAAAAACAAGTTTTTATGACAATGTCACAATGAAGAAATTTTTATTGCAACGCAATTTTGTCGAAGTTAGATTGATCCATATTTAAGCTTACCTTGGTCGTCAGCTGGTTTACTCAGGCAGAACGATAATGACAATAAACATAAAAATATTACTTTCTTCATGTTTGCAATGGTAAAAAACAGTCTACTGTATTTTAAAATTAGTTAAAACCCAGAGCAATTGATTAACGACCCAACACAAGCAAATTCGTGATGAAATAGAATTAGTGATGTGCTTGTGCATAATTTAGCGAACCGATGATAATTACCACAATAGTGTTGTACTCAAAAACCGACATTTCTTTTCCGTTTTATTTTATTGCAATAAATAAAAATAAGGAAAACCTAGATAACTAAAAAAATAAGGAAGTCCTTAAAAAATCAATTTTCTTTCGATTTCAAAAGTATACATAAAAGATATCACTGTATTGTACCAAACAGAAACTACTAGCGCCATCTTTATTCAATAGACAGTCGCAGACGCTATTTTAGCAACCGGATCTGAGCGTTTAAAGTCATAGATCATAGATGTCATTATTCAATTAAATAACTTTAACAAACAACTAAATAGTATTTTGTTTTCTTGTTTTATAATTACAAAAAAGTAACGAATCTATTATGTTGGGAATGGGGACAGAATACACACATAGTATATTCCGTAAAACTAACTTTTTTGCGTAAATATGAGAGGTCTATAACTTTCTCGTAGAACTTTTTAAAAGTGATTATAGGTTATCGCTCTAACGTAATTAATCAATTTTGGGGCTTTAATTATTTACTGGAGGATCATAGTTAGTTAAACTTTTAAGTCCTTATCACAAGTTTCAATGCTTCTAATTCAAGTCTATAAGCTTGTCTGTATTTTGTTCGTGAAACATAATTTGAGGTCCTCAGAGATTTCATTAAAATTTTAGCCTAATGAATACATACTTAATTCATTTATTTTAAGAGGAAAATTAGTTTAATTACTTCACAACTGAAAGGGTTAGTCAAAATGTTGGATTTACGTAATTTTATCCATATAAAAAATAAAAATGTACCTTTCACGACCAATATATTCCAGTAATTACGCGGCTTTGGTCTAGTTTTGTCGTATTTAGTTGAAATGTTAATATTCAATTGCTATAAACACATTAAACGAGATAACATGTGTTTCTTGTCTTGCTTTGACTTGTAAATAATGCAGTTGAATAATGCACGATTGGTGCAAGATATAACTACGATAATGGCGATTCTGAACTATATATTACACCAAGCAGAGGTTACAGTATAAAATAAATAATACTACGCGTGGGTTAGTTATGACAAATAATAAGTCAACTCTTGGTTACGCGTTATACAAGATTTGTCTGTACTATTAAAGATATTTAGCTAGAAATGACTAGATAAAATCTGTACTATAAAATCACAAACATCACAAACGCATTTCCACATTGTTACATAAAAACTTTTATTTAGATCTTTTTCTAAATGGTATCACCAACAATATAAATAAAAATGTGTAGTTTAGTTCCTTTTCACAAATAAAAATAGAAAATCTATACCTAATAAATGTTTGGAATAGTGATTCCATTTAGTTTTCAATTCAATTCACTATCCCGGGCTGCGGATTTAAAATATGGTACAGTAAAGCGAGTTTAAAGTGAAAATCTTCCCAATATTTCAGCATCAACTCAAATAGAAAGCTTTGGTCGCTACACTGTTAAGGGTTTTATTAAATTTGAAAAGGTTTACATAAACTTTAACACTTTCGGAGATACCATCTTGACGATATGGTATAGTCTCATTTATGCATTTACACAATTTCGAAATTGCAGATAAAAAAACGATGTTTTTCCTAAAGTGCACTTTAGTAAGTAATTATTTTTTTTAATTTAAAACATGTTTAACGTGCAACAATTATTTGATGTAAGGTGGACATACAACTACCATTATAATACGTTTACGTAGTAACGAGTCAAGTAAGAATAGAACAGTGATTTTTCTTTAGTTCGTCGAAGTCTGACAGTGGTAAGGCCCGCTTTAACATCTTCGCAGGAATGGTTCGGCTCGCCCGTTGTAATACCACCGCCACACAGAAAACATTCGTGAAGTGGAAACAATTCCGCGTTTCGTCTGATGAGTGTGAACTGGAGGCCTAACTTTAGTCCCTTTCCCTTTCCACCTTTTTCTTAAGAGAAAAGGAAAGGGAAGGAAACGTGGATTTGACGGTGGAGGAGACGCATAGGAAGTGGAAATGTTATCTTTATGTGCGTCTCCTCTTCGTCAATTAAGGGTAGGCGGATGTTTATGTATGTGGATGTTTATGTTTATGTTTATGTTTGTCACATTATATTATAAAAAAGTCATATGAAGTAGTACTAGAATATACTAGTTACGGAGAGACATTTTTAAAGTAAACATCTCATTATGTTTATTAATTACGCAAAAACTGTATTTCCAAATTGGTATTCAATCGCAAGAAATGAAAACTAAGAACATATTTCATCTATTAAAGTGAACAACGGTTACAAAGAGAATGACTTAAAGTAAAATTGCGAATTGAAATTCACAAAGTGACGTCGGAACGTGTTGCCTTGCGACAAGAGCGGTGGCTCAGACGTTTCTCTTTCGGAGTTCTTGTTTGAGTTGAAACGTCTACTTTTGATATAAGTAAGATTATCAAGTAAATCTGCACTTAGGGCAACCTCTTGTTTGAAAATTTTTCATCATACTTCAAAGATGAGAATAAAAACTTTATTTTGTAGAGATAATTAGTCTTTAGTCTTTGACAATAGGAATCCAAAACAATATTATAGTTTTTAGGTTAGGGATTTAATTTTATTATTCGTTTTTAAATACCATTATTAACACGCCATATCTTACTAATATCATAAATGAGAAAGTTTAGATAGACGGATGGTTTTTTGTTAGAGTTTGTTGCCTAAACGGGTGAACGGATTTCGATGAAATTTGGTTTAGATGTAGAGGATAGTCTGGAAGAACACAGGCTACTTACTTTTTTTATTCCACGCGGATGGAGTCGAGGGTGAAAGCTAGTATTGAATATTAAATTATAAAAGCATATTAAGCTCTTTTGTTATATTTTGTATAAATCGCATAAATTCATTTTATCGTCCATTATAAAAGGAATGCTGTGGGTTTGATTTATATCATTTGAAAATTTATTTTAAAATTTGCATTGTCAGCTGTGGCAATGATATAGAAATATTGCTGGATATATTCTGGTCCAGCATTTTTCTAACTTTTATATTTATGTTCTTGTATCACCTGTGCACCGCATATTGGAATTGCGATTTACACAAATATTCAGTTTTATGCTATTCTACCTCTTAGAATCATTTAATGATTACTTGTGCATTCCCTTAGTGTTCATTTCTACTAATGCTAGTATTACCTAGGTAAAGACCCACATGGTGACTATTAGAGCTAAAAATTTCAATATAACTTATTGCAAAATTTTTTTGTATCTGTGCTTTTACTAAATTGACCTTTACATTAAATTTGACTGAAGGTAACGATGAATAAAAACTTACTGACTTATTAACGAAAAGACTTTTGGTCTCGTAATAAATTACGATTCAAAGCCGAAGCTTATTTCTCTTATGATTAATGATTTAAAAAGCTATGATATAAAAAGAAACTGATTTGACTTTCTTTAGATCTGCAGTGATCATTTTTAATCTATGATTCTTGGTTTTTAGGGTTGCCAAATGATTAATTCTCTAAAAAAATTTTCAGATGTTGAATTGTTAATGTTTTGATTTAAATTAATTTATTCAGAAATAAGTATTTTGTCTATGTGTATTTTAGAAAAATTAAATTAATTTTATGGTCGTGGCCAATTACATTAATTGTGGGTACAAAAAGTTGTCTACGAAGTGTAAAAAAACGACAGTTAATTTGTCGACTAACTTCCCTTGATAACAATTTACATAATGAAAGTCGAAACATAGCCGCGGGCCCAGTCACTTCCTCATTACGTTGTCAAGGAAACTGACTATGCATTATTATATCACTAGTTGTCGCCCGCGATTCCGTCCGCGCGGAATTAGAAATAAATAGTTAAGAAGCCTATTTGTTCCTATAGACTATGCTTTACATCTAAGTCAATTTTCAGGGAGATTTTACGAAGAGAGGCGTTCTAAAAATTTCCATCTAAACATACAAACATTCACATTTATAATATTAGTACAATATATGTATTTCTGAGTATTTTTAAGTGACAGGTGTTGCCTGAAACTACAATACGAAACATACTTGCAAACATTTTCATTAAAGCAAAATCGGTGTTGCCTGAAACACAAGCAAATTTGCAGACAGACAGAAAATAATATAAAGTTAGTTTTATGATGTAAAGATGTTTACGGAATATATTATTTTGATATATACAGATATACTAATATAAATAGATTGCAACTCGCCTATAAAATCTAACTTACTTTTTTACTTCGTCCTCGTAATAATCGAAGTATGATCGAAATCACCTTTTGAGTACAGTCAACAGAATAAATCGATGTAAGCACACGATAAATCTGTCTAACAAAGTTGTAGAACAAATTGATTGTCTTTGTCTCGTAAGTTACGACGAACTAGCCTGACACTAATATTAATTCCAGGGAGAGTCATCCGTCTGCCAAGGCAAGGGTCAAAGGTGACGGTTGTTCTAAATTGTCTTGTCAGTGCATGTATTAAACACTAGAATTTGTATACAAATACTTTTATATTGAGATTTAAAATACGATATTAAACTACTTTCTTATAAATAGTGTAATTTTTCTTATTACATCCATATTAAGGGGCTCACTTAGTTACGTATTACGACTAGAAGTAAGAAAAGCATATCTTTGGACATATTTCGACAATAAATGTACTAAATTGCAAATAAATGGTAAGAGAAAAAGATTTTTTTTTTTATTTTAAATGTTACTTAATAACGTGGCTTTAGAATTTTTTTACAGATTTGCATAAAAAACACTGGGCGATTTCATGATTAAATGTTCGCATTCTTTACCAAAGAGTGCAAGCAACCATATAAATTATCCTTAATGTCCAATAATGCAAGAAATAAAATATGCGGGAACATATATCAAAATTCGCAGGGTAATATCAAGAGCCAGTCTTCGCCATTACACCATTTATTTTATTTAACTACTTGGCAAAGGTATCTTTACTACACAGAGGTGTGCTTAACATTAATTTTTATTTGGTATAATTTATTGAAGTTCTG